CTCTGCTCATGTTTTTTTATCAGAGTGGCTTCACTTCAGGAGGATGTTTACGATGCTCTCATGCTTGTCAAGGTGATTGTCTTAATTAGTGCACTTAGGCCAGAATAGCGTTTCTGTTGTCATGTGGTCATGCAGATAACCTATTCGATTGTTTGATGCAGAGATTAGGTCTCGATGTTCGAGAAGGAAAACGAAGACAATTCAGCTATATAGGTTTGCCTCCTACAATTACATAGAAAAAACTAAATTGCAGCATTTATTGTTACAATACTTGTAGTTTGTATCAATGCAAGCACAATAATACATTGCAATGAAGTGATTCCTACTGTAATGGTCTTAATACAATCCCTTTTGCAGCTTAGATTTACAATTTGATATATACTTTCCTACAAACTATATACTTATTGTGTATATTTTTAAGTTTATGCTAGGTAGACTGCTTCGGGATGTTGAGCCGGAATTGATGGATGAATTAATTAAGGCAACATACAATGGAGACCATGATCAGGTTCGTGCTTTATCTAGGTCACGAACACAGAGCATTGAAGATTTTGATGAAAGTGACTATGAGGATGAGGAGGAAGACGATGATGATGCTAAAGATGAGGTTCTCTCATTACTTATCTCTCTCTACCACTTGTTTTAACATGGGAACCGACAGGACTTGCACATAATGTACCTGTTTTTTGATTCCATGATATTTTAGAGCAACATACTTCAATAACCAGAAGTAAATCATCAGTGATAATTTTCACTTTGGAAAAAATATGAACTAACACATTGTGTTGTCACTTTTCACTTGTCGCAGAATATTGAATTGGCTGACAGATGGTTTGATGGCTTGATCAATAAGAACATTGAGGTTAGCAATGAAATATATTCTCTTCGTGAAGTTGAGTTCGACCGTCAGGTTAGTTCTTCTCCAGTCTTAGCTTATCCCATAGGTCATTGCTTTGTTATCCAAATGAAGATTTCTCATATGACTCCATCACTCTGTGGCAGAACATTCTGCTTATGAGGTCTCTATCCCCTAGTCAATCTATATGTTCTTCAAAACACTTAAAATAAAATTATTAAATCTCATCAAAATGAATACTTATTACATAAGCATTCATTTGGTGTAATCTTAAACTTAACGATCAGAGCACCATAGGTGCCCCAATTGAATTGGTGTCACATTCTTGCACCATTTTTTGGGTGCAAAATTACTCTTCCTCTATTGAAATATTATAATACCATCACATATACTCTGTAGTCTGTAGTACTATATTTGAACCATTTTCACTAGATTCAATGTTTTGAATATTTGATTTTTAAAAACATCTTTGCATTCTTACGGAAAGGTAGTTGATTGATCTGATGGAAGGAATGAGAAAGTTTTGACCACTATGTGTCTGCCCTAATGTATGTATGGACACTTGAATGACACATGCCCCTGCCAATGAGTCTTTGTAGGCCGAACTAAGGTCTTTTCTAGCCGAGACGTGCCGGCTCGTTATGCAAATCAAGTACAATATTGAACTTGAGCTCGATTTAATTTCTACTCCACATGAGTTGGACTCAATGGCTCGATTATTTAGTTGCTAATAAGTTAGTGATTTAGGCCCTGTTCTTTTGGGTTCGAATTTCAGAGTTAGATGCTCGAAGAAACTGGAAGGAGTTAGAAAAAACTGGAAGGGGTTGGAAAATGTTGGAAGAATTCAAGTGTTAAAAAGTCACTCAAATAAATAATCACCCAAATAAATATGTAAGGAAATTCTAATTTTGGATATAAAAGAATTCATCCGTGTTTGTGTTTGAGGTGGTATGTTACAAACTTTGATATATAATGTTATTGTGTATTCATCATATATATATATATATATATATATATGTTGAAGCTACTCAATTGAAGAACAGAGAGAATAAAGAAGAAGAAGAAGAGGGATCTTTTCATTCATTCATCTTGCGCACCAACAAAAGTATAACAACCAAGTCTTATATACTGGCGAGGCAATCAACAAACTAACTAACAGAAAATTAACTAAAAGCCTATAAAAGTGGAGCAAACAGTTGGGACAGCTGGCGGTTGAAGATTGGGACAGCTGGCAATTGAAGCTTGACTCTTCACACCCCCCCTCAAGCTGGGTGGTGGAGAAACCATCCCCAGCTTGGACAAAAGCTTGTGGAACTGATCAACAGGAATGATCTTGGTAAGGACATCTGCCAGTTGATTGGTTGTAGGAAGATATGAGAGATTAATAAGACCTTCAATGACTTTCTCTCTTGTAAAATGACAATCAATGTCGATGTGCTTTGTCCTCTCATGGAAAACTGGATTCCTAGCAATATGCAAAGCTGATTGGTTGTCACAATGAAGAGTAACTGGCTTCAAATTTGAGACGTGAAGTTCTTCCAGCAAACGCACCAACCATGTGATTTCTGAAGCTGCTTGGGACATGGCTCTGTATTCAGCTTCTGACGAGGACCTGGAAACAGTGCTTTGTTTCTTGGATTTCCAAGAAATGGGGGAACCTCCAAGTAAAATGATGTAACCAGTGACTGAACGTCGTGAGAAAGGACATGAAGCCCAGTCAGAGTCAGAGAAAGCATGCAAGGAGAGCTGATCAGATCCTTTCATTAGAATCCCTTGATCTTTTGTACCAAGGAGATAATGTAGTAAATGAAGAGCACCTTTCATGTGGGAATCCTCAGGAGTTTGCATAAACTGACTTAAGAGTTGAACAGAGTAGGAGATATCAGGACGTGTGTGTGTGAGAAAATTGAGCTTGCCTATCAAGCTTCTATATGCATGTGGATCAGCACATGGAGCAGAAGTACCATGTTGAAATTTAGCATTTAAAGGAAGGGGAGTTTTCAAAGACTTGTCATGTAAGCACTGATATTCAGCAAGGAGGTCCTGTGTGAACTTCTTTTGGGAGAGAACAATGCCTGCTGAGGTGTAGGTGAGCTCAAAGCCTAGGAAATAGTGAGCAAGACCAAGATCCTTAATTGTGAAACTGTCATCAAGAAATTTTTTGATAGAGGTAATGGCAATGGGATCATACCCAGTAAAAACTGAAAAGAGTTAGAAAAAACTGGAAGAAGTTGGAAGTTAATTATTCGAACCCAAAAAAATAGGGCCTTAGTGGGAGTAGTCATAGTAGGAGTAGTGGCATTGGAAGATGAGGATGAATTCCATAATTATATGGGTCTGACTACTTTTTCTAGCAATAAAAAAAAGCTCGCAAAAAGATTCACAATGCACCTCGAAGCCTACACATTTTTGCTTGGGGCGTAAACCTCCCATTATGCGAACAAGGTTTAAACCTCAGTACCCAAATTTAGCGCCTCAATGTGAGGCGTGCCTAAATGTTCTTCAAGCCATAACAGTTCAAAAAATCAAAACCTGCCTTATAACATTCCTTGAAGCCTACACTTTTACTTGGGGCGTAAGCCTCAAATTCTGCAAACAAGACTTAAGCCTCAACGCCCAATCTCAGTGTGTCAATGTGAGGCAAGCCTCACAACGCACCTCATAAGCATTTTTAAAACATAGCAGTCTAACAAAATAATCACAAAAGGCCTCAAAGCCTTTGCTTTTTTTTTCTTGGGACGTGAGCCTTATATCTGTAAACAAGGCTTAAGCCTCAGTACCCAATGTCAGCGCCTCAATATGAGGCGAGCCTCATAAGTAAAGAGTACGTTTTAAAACCATAACAGTCCAAAAAACAAAACCTGCCTCTAAAGCAACACGAATCATACACTTTTTTTTTCTTGTGAGTAAGCCTCATTGCCCTCTGTTATGCAAACAAGGCTTAAACCTCAGGACCCATTTTCAGCGCCTCAAAGTGAGACGAGCCTCACAACACGCCTCATAAGCACTTATCTAAACCATTTTGATGGAAAGAGTACTTTTTTTGTGTAATACTAATTTCTCATCACAGACATCACTCGTCCTTTGGACCAAAACTAATTTTTTAGCTCATCTGTTTTCCTCCCCTCTTTCAAACCATACGAGGGCTTACTTTGTTAACATGATGCTATGAAGTTTTTTTCAAGTTTCCATATCATTTTTAATTATTACGAATCCTTTTGGTTCATAATAAGCTGCATAATTTGCTTCATGAGCAGTTATTATTTCCATGGGGTCTAAATGTTCAATATCATTATCACAGGAATTGCGGAATCTGGTTCGCAATGTACAATCAATTGAACTGCCCTTAATCACAGAGGAGGGAAAGGAAGGCGAAGTGGACATGGCTTTTCTCAAAGCCAAGAAGTCCCTCACTCGTTTCCTTCGACGCATTGCTAAGCAGGTTCTCCGGGCTGAGTAGGCAATCTCTTTATATGATGCAGGTGCGCACGGGGCATTACTTTTTGGACTGTTTGGATATCTCTCCAAATAAGTGGTGCGATACCAGGTCAGGTTTTCTTCCTAACTTGCCTGCTCTTATGGGAAAGAGTTTTGCATCTTATACTGTAAATTTGTAAACTATTAATATTTATTGATTAAATGTAATTTTAACCACACTTTTAATTGTTCAACTCTTCTCTTAAATTTTGTAAACTTTGAGACAATTATTATGGGATGGAGGGTGTCTATGATCTCCCTATTACTATAAGGAATATATTCTAGCTAGTATACTCCCTGATATTTAACTTCCCACACTCTGTTCATTAACATCTCAAAATAAAATTTTCATTTCATCTAAGAAAAAGAATTGTGGGATTCATATTATTTCACAATAAATCTCAATTACTTGATGGTCTCATTTAGGGCAGTGAAATTGCCAAAACAACAAAACGGGTAGAGAACAGTACTCATATTAAACAGCATAACAATCATCATTTATAAGAGCCAACCAGCCTGTTCCTGTCCCAAAATAGAAAAAAATTATGGTGCAGTGGCGTGGTACGCACAAACACATACAAGAATTTTCAACCCCCAACCCCAAAACAATATGAAAACATTTTACAGAATACTGATATACATACTTATTGAAAGTTTGAAACCCTGAAACCAGTGACACCCCCCCCCCCCTCACACGTGCATGAGGCCCTCCCGGTGGTGGCGCTCTAGCTGAGCGAGCTTTCATGAATTAACTAATCTCGCCGGAGAGGGGGCCCTCAAAGAAAAAGTGGGCAGAGGCAAACAGCTTGGATGAGGTGAAACAACAACATCACTGCCGTCGGCCGGAAGGTGCAGGCGTTTTGGAGGCAGCCCGGCATCTGGCGGCGGAGGAACCTTATTAACAGCATGCCGTGGGGTTTTCTTGGATTTTTTCTTAGCCTTATTCGACTTGGTGTTATAATTACTGTTAGTGGTGGTGGTGGTGGTAGTAGGTGGCGGGCATGAAAGAGTCCGAGTTTGGGGGTTGAGGGTAGGCAGAGGAAGAAGCGGCGGCTGCCGATTATAATGGAATGAGAAATTGTGACCGGGGTGAGGTGGAAGAGAGCGGTGGTTTATAAGAGGTGCCGATGGCGGAGACTGGAATATGGGCGGCGGCGGCGGCGTCATATCTTTGGAGGAGCTGCTCCTAGTTAAATACTGATCGGTGGAAGTGGAAGTAGAAGAAAGTATTGGAACATAATATAAGCCGATCCCGCAGAGTCTAATGAGCCTAGTTAGGATATTGCCGACCTCCCTCCACTAATGGAAGCTTTAAATAAAAGGAACGTGTCCAAAGTCATGTCTTTTTACCAAGCAAATGTTAGCTCCTTTCTCTTAAAAAAACGAGTAATAAAGAAACTACTCGGTATTTGCTCGTTCTTTTTAGTTGCTAACAATAGCTTGTACTCCCTTCCCAATAGTGTTTTTGTGGTTATCATTTACACGGTTAAATTATTTTCATTTCTATTTTCGTATTTTCATTATCATTCGACAAAATGATTATGGCTGTGTTTCGTTCTCCTGCTTTAATCTGATATTTTGAAGATTTAATTTGGTCTGATCTGATTGCAATTATAATTAAAGTTATTTTTTATCTGATCTGATTATAATAAGAATAGGTAATAAGTAAAAAATAATAAGTCGAACGTGCCTATAGAGGATATTCATGTCGCCAAGTGTTTTAAAAATCTTTTCATATATGGAGTAGTTAGCATACAAATTTTATTTTTTTAATTTACACCACTCAGTAATATTTAAATAATATAATTTGAGAATAGCATGAGTCAGATATCGTAAATCAGTAATATTGTAAGTTTAACGGTCGAGGAATCAATGAGACAAGAGGGGGTACTTGAGCATTTCCTTTACAGTAGATTATTCTTAGAGTCTCATGTGGATATCTGAGGTTTGGTAATTAGAGTCGAAAAATTGATGCTTGGAATTAGAATAAGAATATACTCTGTATAATTGAAAAGAACATACCCTTTATATTTTCTCAAATACTCTCTCTGTTCCAAATTTCTTAATGTATTTGACTTTTTACGTTCAATGATACAATATTTTCACTGTTACTAACTATGATTGTGTATAAAAATTTGATAGGTCAAAGCTGCAACTTAAAATAATTCCATTTACATTAAATTGATATTACGAAGAATAACTAAATACTCCGTAAAATATTCTTTACAATTTGTGATCAAAATTTGTAAAATTTGATCAAGAAATAATTCATTCTTTAATCTACTCATAAAATTCGTATCATCTACTATGTGAAAATAAATTTGGTCAGAATTTTAAAGTTTTTTCTTTTTTTTTCTTCTTACGAGTACATTGAAATTGCACCGACCACGCCCATGCATGGATAGATGTGCATACCATTAGGCACCGGCCTAATCAGTTAGTCCATTCCCCTATCGCTGCACTCCATTTTTTTATTATCCCTTCTTCCACTTTATTGCTTTGACGCTTTCTTAATGCGGAGTCAGTCTTATTCTTATTCATATTTCAAGAGCACCTTCATTGCACCAGTGTCATAATATGACACTCAAAACAGGTTTGATTTTAATCTAACCCCTAATCTCATTCTGTACTCTAAAAATCAGAATCAATTCGCTAAAAACACTTGATATTTATAGCCCATTTTTCATGAATTCAAAATTCTAATTTTTAGATTGTAGAATGAGATTAGTTATTAATGGATGAGGATTTCGTCCAGCCCGATAATATTTGAAGAATACATGTAAATCCATTTATTTACATAGGATACTATATTTTCTTCTATGCATTAACACGGAGTCATTACATTGTTTATGAATGCTCCTTCCGTCCCATAAAACATTTCCTGTTTTAAAAATAGTACGCCTTTAAAATGAATAATTTTAGTGTTATTTTTTAATTATGACTAATCTATTCTACACATCTCATCCTACTCTTTTATAAAGTAAGGGCAAAATTAGAAAATAACATCAAAATTACTCATTTTAAGGGCGCGCTTTGTTTGAAACAGGAAATGTTTTATAGGACGGAGGAAGTATGTTACTAATATTTTTGGTGGGAAGTCTTGAACCAGTATCGCTCAACATCAATCCAAATTAGGGCTGGACACGGTACCGGTTCGGTACCGTCACCGGAAACGGTACCGCCGGTACCGAGCACCGTAACGGCAACCAGGACGGCAAAACGGTTTCGAGAACCGGCACCGGTACCGCCACATCCGGTCTCGGTTCCAGTGCCCCAAAATCATTACCGGCATCGCCGGTACCGGTGCCGGTTTCGGTACCGGTTTTTT